CTTCCAAAAATGCAAGCCCAAAAAACAACAAAGGTAGAGGTGGAAAAGGTTCAAAAATGCGAGGCATCACTCGGATGCGGAACGAGAAATATGGGATGTGGAATGCCGTGAAACTCCCGAATCATTTCTTCGTTTAGTCGACCTGCTTCTCGCAGCCAATGCGGCCCAGCAACTCCTTTCGATCGCTGTGGCCAGGCAGGCTGACTCCAGAGCTGCTGGCTTGCTTCTTGACGCCTGATCGGCGCTCCCAGTTGCGAAGGTCAAGCGCCTCGACGCCGACTTCCTCCTCCAAAGGCTGAGCTTCCTCGTAGACAAACTCCTCCTCCTCCTCTTCCTCGCCACCCTCGTCGTCACTTCGGACGTCCTCGGCATCACCGCCCTTGAGGACCTTGATGATGACGCGAACGATCATGGTGAACCAGCCGATGGTGATGGCCTGAAGGAAGAGAAGAGGTCCGAGGAAACCCCACTTGACAGTCTCGTTGTAACAGACAAGGCCTTCAGGGTTGATGAAAGGTTCGGCGAGGTATCCCCAGCCAGCTGGAGTGTTGAGAGGACCAACCATGTTTTCGTTGTTGCCCTTGAAACAGCCGGTAGGCATGATTCGAGGGGTGTCGGCATAAATGGACCAGCAGACCGCGATGTACAAGACATGACGGGCAAAGAACCAAGAAACAACAAACAGACCGAACATGACGTCGCAGACCTTCTTGTAACCACAGTACTTGAGACACTTGGCAAGCTGTGACATGTTAGTTGGGCGACGAAAATGTACGGATGAGAACAACTTACAGGAAGGAAGAGATCAACAACATCCATGATAACGAGGATGAAGTTACCGACGCGGGTGTGGTGATAAGCGTAGCAAGCAAAGATGAGCGCAGTGGTGACGATGTGGTGGGTGAACATCTGCCAATGATCCTTGCGGCGCTCTTCGATATTGATGACAATCATCTGTTGCAGCCAGAAAGCCCACTGGCAAAGAAGGTAGGCCTTCATGATTCCATCAAGCTCGCGGTTGGGCCAGTCAGTCCACAGGTTCTCCATGCTCATGTAGTGAGGAGAGGTGCAGTAAATGTACTGTATAAATGTCAGTGCGTGATTCTCCCTGTGTTGCTAAATCCAAGCTTACCACTCCCCAGGGCCAGAAAACGGTATAGTACACCATGAGCCAAGCCTGTTCACTGAAGCGAGTCAAGTTCTTGCGGTTGTCGACACCTTGCCATCTACCAATAGGCGCGAGGACGTATTCCATGGTAGCAGCGCGAAGGCCGGTGAAAAGAATAATGCAAAAGGTGATGAAGTAGGCATCGTCGTAACCAATGCGATATTGTCCGGATTGAGAGTTGTGGTAGCTAAGATGAAAGAACTTCTGCGTGTAATCTCGAGCTTTGGGGATGAAGGTTTGGGCGAGAAAAATGAGAGCTAGAAGGTTGAAAGAGAGTCCTAAAAATAAGGGCACCACGTCAGCTTGAGTTCGTCCAAACAAGATAAGACGATCAGATCGGTGCACACTCAGATGCAGCTCAGCGTGCGATCAGCCTGTCATGAAGCGCCGCCGTCTGGTAGCGTAGCAGGACCCCAAAAGCCCGGCCGGCAGGGATGCCGCGGTGCCCCGCGGGGTGCGGCTCCAAATGCGACACCCGTCCCGAAATGTGGTTAACCAGGCTAGGTCCAGATTTGACCTGACACCCTGCCCTGTCTTGACATCTCGACACCCCCACGGTAATTGTTCGCGACCCACGATTGGCAAGAAAGGGGAAGGCTGGTTGGTTCAGGGGGAAAAAACATACCGATTTGGTTCTCGACAAACCAGCGTGAGAGGTGCTTCCAGGTGCTTTCCTCCTTGCGCTTAAGTCGGCGGACAAGCACTGTCTTATTACCAGCGGTTTGCATGTAAAGGGGACCGTTCATGTTTGGCGTGCTGTTGTCCTTCTTGAGTCGTGGTCGCGGGGCAGCACCTGTGGTAGGTGAAGTGGCAGCACTGGCGCTACCATTTGAGGCTGCGATGTGCTCATCTTCTGTGGTTGTGATGATGGTAGCTTGTTGGCGAATGATTTTCTCTTCTACAACTGGCTTGTCGCTGGCGACAGAAGGGCCAGGGGCAATCTTGTCCTCGACCTGCATGACTGGATCGATGCTCATGACTGAGCGAGCCGCTTTGTGCAGAATTGATGTTCTTTTTCGTGCGTTTTCGTTTCGTCTCGTATAAGAGGCTTCCGTGTCCTTTTTTCCTTCCTGGAAAGGTGGAAAGCGTTGGCTGTGACTGATGTTGGTGGGCGGAAGGAGGGAGGGGTCCTGTGCTAGGTCCGCGAGTCGGAAGCCACAAGATCCAATGCAAAATTTGGAAAGGAAAAATATCAGGGAGTTGAGTTGAAGAGGCAAGGCTTGGTTTTTGTTGTGCTTTATACTTTCGTCAAGCAAAAGTCAAGGTCGACGAAGGGATATGGCGATAAAAAAAAGGTAAATCGAGATGCCAGTCAAAAAGTCAAGGCTCCGTTGTCTGTCGCTAGGTTCGCTCTGAGGTCTCGCGGAATCAAGGTTGTTGGGGTTTACCAAAGCTCAACCCAGTTAGCAAGACTGAGCAGAACAATGGAGAGAGATGATGCCGGGAGCAATGCGTATGGAGGATAAGAAGGAGAAGGAGGAGGGGAGAAGTAGGAGAAAGTCCAAGGATCAGGTAGCCAAAGAAAAGAAAATGGGATCCCAATGAATTTTGAACGAACCCCCATGAATGAATTGGCTCTAACAAAAGAGATCCATAAACCCAAGGCTTGTAGGGGGTAGCGCGCTGTTCTGTTGCAGTAGTGGGGAGGCCCTTTACGTGGAGTAGGCGAGTGCAGTGCCAGGGTGTCCACTGTATTTTAGGTACGTACATGAGTGTGTTGAGGGAGGATTGCCCCACAGCGGGCATTACCCAAGGCGGTGAGCAAGAGCCTGTTTGCAAGCAGTGCAGCTCCAGCTCAGCTGCAGTGAATATTGTTGATCAAAAGGAGAAGCAATGGAGCTGATTGAATGATGAATCTGTCCTCTATTCGTTAGGGGAGACTTGAATAGGATGTTTATCGCAGCTTTCAAGAGGATGAATTTGTCTACTCGAGTTCAATTGGGGCTTAGTTTTGCTCTATGAAACCCTCAATCGCTTCAATGAGAATATCTCGTCTTGTTTTATCACCAATCTCAGATCAGATTGGATGTGCAGCATCCCATGAGTTTCTTTGGGCGGTGTTTTCTCTCGAATCCCTGCCTGCATTTCACTACATGCAGTATATAGAACACCTATCCCGAATAAGAACAAGGTGGATATATGTCACCCTCCTTCAGTACTGTAGAAACAGTTCCTCATTCACTGGATAGGCGACAGGCCTTGTGGTTTATTCCAAGGAAGTCTCGAGATTCTAGACAGCACTGGACTACCTAATAAATGGATGGAATGACCACCCTAGCTCCAGGGGACGGTCGCCTCCATTGGACCATCTATTTCGTTGAGACGGCTCAAGGGGAAGACGGGCCAATAGGAAGAGTCCATTTCAAGGTCCCCTTATTCCAACTACCCCTCTCTATCTCTATCTTGCTCTCTTTAGAGATAGCCCAGTCCTCTCTTAAGCTTTTAGCTCAACAGCTAGACTTAGTCTAGCACCTTTACCTATGCCTATCTAATCTGCGGCGTGTACCGTCAGAAATACACTGCACTGTAGATCTCTTTCGCCAAGTTACCCCTTTTCTTTCTGCCAATGGTGATCAAGTTAAAGGGGAATCGGGTGGCGGCTGACTCCCGGAAGCCCTAGTTTTTCGCATTGACAAGAGAATAATAAAAAGTCAAACAAGGGAAAGAATTCCAGGCCAAGGGAGTAGTGTTCTATATGTCATCCTCGTTCGATCTCGGGCAAACATCCAATATGTAGATAGTAGTACTACCCAAGTGCATTAGTATAATGCAGTGCTTAAGCGCTGCAGAAATGCCAGAATGTTGACGTCCAGGGAACAAAATGCCACCGCAAGGTCCAGGTTCAAGTCTATGATTGTTTTTGTTTTTTTAAAGTGTTCCCCCGCTAAACATGGAGCCTGCTGCAAGCCAACGTTGACTGAACCAGGTTGATAATGATTCTTATGAAATCGATTGGTCAATTCAGCTCCTGGAATGCTGCAACCTCGGTACGGGAGCACGGGCTGGTCTTGGGCGAGATGATTTGGCTTCGACCTTGTCGCTTCTGTTAAAGAGATTTTCGACTAATTAAAGTTCTGATTTATCTGCAGCATGCGCAAGATAACAATGCATACCTGTTGCAATAAGTCCGAGGCATTAACATGTCCCCAAATACAGTCTCGATATGCAGTACAGTGCAGTAGTTAGCTTCTAGATCCACCATCGAAACGGTCTCCTCCACCGTCTTTTCAATACGAGACGACTTGATCTGTCCGTTACATTTGTTTCAAGTCGCCATATCAAGCTTGACTACCCCCTCTTGAACAAAAAACTCAATCTATGACATTTAGCCGCCAGCGAGGCATGGCCTCCACATAGTTCGTGACAACTGATCTGACCAGCAGAATAGTATCCATTCTCTGGCTACGATTCCGATGATTATATGAAGATGCACTCGTGTGGAGGGGTGTACTACTTACTACTCCACGAACAGATAATGCTAGCTAACCGCATAATCTTAAGCTGTTGTGGTGTGATGTCTTAATGCCCCGCAACCCGACCAACTGCCGCTAGATATTGAGGTTGATGCCGGTCTCTCAGGGCTCATGTGTTCCATATTATACCACAGGTGAATAGCACAATACTTGACTCGGTTTCACGGTAGCTGTATTGACTCAAAACCTCGAAATTCATTGTCTATCCTTATTGGGGAGCGACTTATTTAGTGCTTTGTTCACAACCAAGTCTATTGTCGACAGGAGAAATTGACTTATAAGTCAAATGTCATACTAATACAACAATCTTTCAGGAAATCATGAGAGGCTCATTGCGTGATATCCAGGTGCCGAAGCTCTCATAGCAGTAGCGCACCCCCGTCTTCATCATCATCATCTTCTTCTTCCTCCGATAAATTGCCATCGTGCGAGACATCAAAATCCGAGACGCACCCGTATGAATCCATGTCGGAATGGTGATCTCTATCCCTTTCCCCAGGTCCTGCAGGTGGCCATGGTTCATCGTCCCAGTATGGACACTGATCTTCCCTTCCTATCCAGAGCTCTTCAAACATCTGTCGCGTGTAGAACGAGGGGTCATATCTCGGTAAACGACGAGAAATCGTGCGAAAGTGGGAAATATCGAACCCGCTGATGTGCAACGCTGCGTCCCACACGTCCCCGAGAGTTCCGTCAATCGTATCTCTGTGGCCAAGCATGCTATAAGCAATACTTGAGGGAGTCCTGCCTTCATTATCCCGAGCGTGTGGATCTGCTCCCTGTTGAAGAAGATACACAAGACACTCTAACCTGATGATGATGTCTTGTTCCGGGGGAGTATGATCTACCAATAAATGCAGGCATGTCTCCCCCTTGCTCGATCGGTCGTGGACATTTGCGCCCATAGACACAAGGTGTTTCAAGATATCTGCAGATATCTTGAAATGCGTACAAGCATTCAAGAATGTCGACATGCCCTCATAATTAACCCAGTCGCGAAAGCTTGCAAAAGGAGTGACAAGTCCTGAATTCCATGCGAAGTCAATTGTGTCCTGGACGTATGTGAGCACATGTCATACCGAATGTGATTCTCTTGTCAGAATGAACTTACAAGTCGGTCTGGCAAAGCTCTCACTGTGTCGAGGAAGCTCATTGACAATTTGTTATTTGGGTCCTTGTATGTTGGATCGGCTCCCGCAGTCAATAGCAACCTGCGACATGCGTTAATCCGTTTGAGTTGTTGATCTGGGATGACAGTATCATCCCACCCATTGTGCCGTTGCAAGCAGTGGGTGCCGTTATTATATGTAACATGATCGACGTCAAGTCCTTCCTCTAGTAAGAATTTGCACATCTCTGGTTGCTCTAGAGAATACTAGTGAAATCGTTTGGTCAGCCATCAAACTTAGGTACCATGAGTGATGTTCTTGTACTTACAAACAGTAAAGAGGCGCCCTTTTCATCATGGTCTCGAATAGAAGCCTTGCCACTTTGGAGCAATTGACGGAGCTCCTGGATCCTGCCCGTCTTCACAATCTCAAATACCGGTGAGCCCAATGGGAGAATCTTGTTCACTTGGAGTTGTGAGATGGACGAAACGCTTCCCGCCAGTATCTCTCTTTGGGTTATTGTAGCCATCAGCATATGGTGGTTCCGATTCCCATTGGGAAGAAAAGTGAGTGACATGTTATAATCAGTCAGATGTCCTTCAACTAGTCCAGTTGTATTTCTCTCATTCTTGGTAGAAACTGTTCGTTTCCGCTTGTGTATCATAAGGCTCATCTTCCCTAAACCGACATCTGCTTGTTTATACGTTCGTTCTTGATCTAGGATCCTTCCTGTGACTTGACGGCTTCCGTTGGCTACTCAGTTAGCAAATATTGTTTTCTAAGCAAATTTGTATAAGGGTAATCAACCACTTACTTCCAGAATTGATAGACACCTCGTATTGTCCAAAGTACCGACTAAATCGACGCAGTCCATCCAACATCTCTTTCTCGATTTTGTTATGTCTCTCCCGTCGAATAGCAGCCAGCAGATCCTGTAGATCTTCTATTGCAGAATCCGCCAGGTCATCCTCTTCAGCATAGACATTGCAAGACTCGCGTTTGGCATCGATCAAAGCGCCGAGACGTTCGATACTTTCCAACATGGCCGAATTCTGAGGCTTGTTTGTGGTGCCTTCGCTTCCAATATTGTTACTGGCCGATGCTTCTCTAGTAGCCTTGCCCTCTAAAACAACAAGATCTTTAATCTCATCCAACAGTGAACGCATATCCTGAAATCTCGACACGGAGATGGATGATGTTGAGTCAAGTGAGTGTTGAATTGAAGACAACCTGCTTTGGTAGTCTCTGTGATGTCCATTGTGAGTATTTAACAGGCTGTTCTCAAAGGCCTGAAAACCAGCTGTTTGTAATTGATGATAAGACTGCAATGAGGTGTCCATCGTAGTCATCTGATTCCTAACTTGTTGTGTGTCGTCCTTTATTTGAGAAACTGTGTTCCTGTACAGATATGTTAGCGAGAATACTTTATGGCAGTCTGAGTAAAAGAGCTGACCGAGACAAAACCAGTAGACGCAAATTTAGGATGTTGACAATCTGTGCCAGCTCACTTCTTATGCGATTCATATCATCCTCGCTCAGAACTATTTTAAGATGTTGCCACAGACGTTTGCCTCCTTTGTCTCCTGGTGTGATCTGTAACTCGACGAGGCGTTCTGCTATTAAGCAAAGACTTTTGATGCTTTGTTGTATGTACGCATCTAAAGTTGTGTTGCCTGCGACGTTTTCTGAGTAACAGAGGGCTTCTAAGATGTTCTGCACACCAAGAAAGTCGTTTGCTAGGCGTTTTAAAATATCTGGACCATCTTTGTATTGCGAGAGAGCATCGTGAGCCTCTTTGACACATTTCAGTGAAAGCAGGACGAACTGAGTAACGCTGGCTGCAGCACCTAGTGCCTCCATGATAGCTGTTGAGAGTAGGAACTTGATGATGTTGAGAGTAGTCTTTTATCAGGCCCTTCTCATCATAGAGAACAGACAGAAAGAGGCAACCGTTTTGCTCCTCAAAACGCCTTATGCATGTTAGTTGGCGCAGTCGCTTTGTGTCCCCTTGTCTGATGCGACAATACTTGATTGGACGATCCAGCGACAAGGATATATAGTAAGGCATGCTAGGCGCGTAAAATAGAGCACACATGAATTAACTATAGAGCATCGAATAGACAGCCTGATCTTGGTGCTACGTTCGGGTGATAAGAGAGTGGGTGATCTCTAGGGTAACGTCTCTCCCGCTCATAACTGGTTCAACTTTATGGGCTTTGTGGGCTTTGTGGGCTTTGTGGGATGTTTAGTGTGATTAATGAATGTTGGGTTGCTATAAACAATACCGAGCTGGAAATAAATTGATGCTAGATCCATGGCGGTTAAGTTGACTGTCAGTATCAAACGGCTTGAAGGATGGATAATTCTCGTGTTGTAGTTCGAGAAAGTACGAAGACGAGTCTCACATCGATCGCTCTTGCCTGTTCCATCGTTCAGCTGCTTGTTTTATTGGTCATATTGATAGCAATGTCCCACTAATAAATTGTATCTCCTTCCTCCCGGTCAAAGGGCTGCTTCAACTTCAACTTCAACTCTACTTTCTTTCTGTAATGTTATGTATCATCTATAATATCATCTAATTACGAGCTCTACACCGCATCATGGACGAATTTACGCTCAATCTAGGCAATGCGTTGAGTGTTGTCTCTTTCTACGACGACGATACGTTGCGATGGAATGCCATCACTTCACGCGACGCCAACGCCGACAACCTTTTTGTCTATGCGGTGCGAACAACAAAGATATTTTGTCGTCCTATCTGCAAGGCCCGACTCCCTCGCCGCGCGAATGTTTCTTTCTTCACTCATGGCCATGAGGCTCAGCAGGCTGGCTTCCGTGCCTGTAAACGTTGCAAGCCCGAAGTTGCAGGGTTCATGCCCCAAGAGACTGCCGTGCGAAAGATCCAAGCTTTTGTGCGACAGCAAACTGAGAAACAAAGCGATGCCCAAGTCAGACTAAGCTTGAGCCAGATGGCTAGGCAAACTGGACTGTCAAAGTGGCATTTCCATCGAGTGTTTAAGAAATGTGTTGGTATAACGCCGACAGAATATTTGCGAATACAACGTCAGAGTCAGTGCGTTCAGAACTCAGCGGAAACAAGTCGGGTTGAAGATGGGTTTGACATTGAAACTCTGGGCCAAGATTTTGACGTGAGAACTTGGGACGATTTTGTTCCCGGTTCAGGGTATCCAACCATTGAAACGCCATTAACAATAATCAGCGACAGTACTTGGTCCATCGACGAATTCTTGATATGGCCGAATGAAAATGAAATGTCAATTGTATGATTGATCTGGCTTGGATCAATACCCATCGTCGTTGGCTATTCGCGCTACGCATTATCGTTCTCTCGATGGGTTGAAGTAACACAACAACAATAGCAAAAACGAACTGTTAAAGAAGCAATTATCCCTAAAACACCTTATCCAGATCTAGCGCCACTTTCCTCTTACGTTTCTAGGGCCTTGAATTTGTTGTTTCTGGTTGCCCAAACAGAAAGTGGAATGTTTCGGTAGCGTTTCATATCTCCCACATATTTGGTTATACTATTTGCAGGGGTACGCTCAAGTAAGCCTTTACCGAAACCCCAGAGTCATCGGAAGTCTCTGTTGCCGGTCGCAGTTACTGCGTAGAGATGAAATTGGACGAGGCGAAATGACAAACTGCTGGAACCCATATTCTACAGAGAGCCGAAAGATAACGAGCCCAAAGGGCTACAATGCTCTTGAGCGCAATTGCACCACCCAATAACTGCATCCAGCAATAACAAAGTCCGTTTTAACATGATCGAATAAGACAACAAGCTTTGACAATGAATATCTGTCCAAATATTTCTGCAAGATTCATCCCATCAAAATGTAGCCGCCTTGGCAGTTCACCTCCGTACGCCTTTGCAACCACTGTGCAACAAAGGGGACGGGAGTTCCGCATCCGAGACCTGCCATGCTTCGGAGTGTCGGAGGACCCTTTTTGCGACAGATGCCTGTCATATAGCCATGGCCAAGATGTTTGAAGCTATAGTCTATGTCAACTAAGCTTGTATAGAGCTGCGGTGGCTATAGTCTAATTTTCGAAAACACCACAGCAATGAGGCATGAACCCTAGCCCCCAGGAGTTTCGACCCGGCTTGGGTAGTACCTCGGAGTGTCAACGGCGCTTACCTATATGGTTCTTTCAAACTATATCGTAGCAGGTCGTGTTTGATCGTTGGGACGAGGTTCAAGCTTGTTGCCATGTTGCATTGACACAAGCTTATTCCTATTTAGCTATTCGATCTTTGGAGACGGAAACATCTATATAAGTAAGACTGTTTATCCTCTAAGACATAGTTTCTTTTTCCATCATCACTCACACAAGCCTCTTCTCAGCATCTCCTTCACCTTCGTCTTTTCTTACTTCATCTGCTGTTCTGTGAACGCATTCGCTTCAACCACTCCTTCTATTTTAATACTTTCCTTTTGCACCGCTGGTTGGTTGCTTCATCACTCTCTCATCCTTCAGCAATCTTCTCTACAACTCATTATCATCCAAACCGAATAAACATTCAAAATGGCTATTTCCAAGACTTTCATCCTTGCCGCTCTTTTGGCTTACGCCGAGGCTCGATTCGGTCAGGAGCAGGAGCCTGTTGCCGCTGTCCAGGCTCTTGATGGATCTTTCGGTGACCCTGGTGTTGCCGCTACCATTGCTGGTAGCATCCCCAGTGCTCTGCTTGCCGCTGCTAGCCCTTGTGATAAGCTCACCATCGCTGATCAGATGATCACTGAGCTCGGAGATGACCAGGAAGTTATCGACGCAGCTATCGGCCTCGTTGCCGCCGAGACCAACTTCAACCCCTCGGCCGTTGACAGACCTTTTGTCTGTGCCGACCCTGCTCTGCCCGCCACTGCTGCTCTCCGAGGAATCATCCCCCTCGTTGACCCAGCTGTCGATGGCGCCGCTGCCCAGAATGCCAACTCGGCTACTTCAGTCACAACCCCCTTTGACGCCGCCGGCCTGTCTCAGGCTGAGGTCATGATCGCTCAGGGATTCACCACATTCCAGGCTGTTGATGCCAGTGGCGCCAACGTCCAGCTCGCCGGTCAGGATGCTGCTGCTGGAGGCGGTGCTGCCGCTGGAGATGACGCTGCCGCTGGAGATGACGCTGCCGCTGACGATGGTGCCGATGCTGGTGCAGGCAACGGTAACAACAACAACAACAACAACAACAACAACAACAACAACAACAACAACGGAAACCAAAATGATAACCAGGACGAAGACTGTGAGGAGGACGACGCCGCCAACAATGGCAACAACCAGAACAACAACAACAACAATGGAAACCAAAATGGAAACCAGAACAATGGAAACAACAACCAGAACGGTAACGACAACGCTGATGATGCTGGTAACGATAATGGAAACGCTGATGCTGGCAACGACAACGGCAACGCTGATGCTGGCAACGGCAACAACGCTGGTGGAAATGCCGGTGACAACGCTGGTAACGCTGGCGCTCTCGACTTCGGCATCTGCCAGCCCACCATGGCCCTCATCGGTGGTCTCAACGGTCGCCCTGCTGATGAGTTGACCTTCATCCCTCAGGACCCTACCATTGCCGAAGGTCAACAGGAGGCTCTCAACCCCAACATCATCACCAACCGTATCTGCGATCAGCTCACCAACGTCTGTAACGCCAGCGACGAGGCTGTTGCAGCTTGTGAGGACGCCCAGGCTGAGATCGAGGCTTTGGGAACTCGCGACCAGAGCACCGCCGACACATGGAACGCTCTTCTCGGCTTCGCTGGTGTTGACTCTTCTCAACAGCAGGTTTAAAAAAAAGAAAAGGGGCGGAGGAGATCGACGCATGCTGGTCATGAGATAATGAGTCTGAGAGGAGGCATGAGTGAAGATGGTCGCTATTATGAGTTTTAGCTTAATTAATTCAATTTCGGTATACCCAACTTCATTCTCCATATCTTTCCTGTGACTTGGGGTAGTAGCTCTCTCGATAGAGATCAGAAATAAATGACTCGATTGTGCTCAGGACGACAGGCTTTAGCTGAAGTGTCTTGTTGCTTGCACCAGGAGGTAGAGTCAGACCAGGTCAATGCACACGTTACGAAACAGCAAACACCACTCATGACTACAGCTCGTAATGTGATCAGCACGATGATAATAACATTTTGACAAATATTGATTGTACCAGTGGATATTCCTCAGCCGCTGTCCAGTGATTTGTTGTAGCGCTTTCTTTTAATGCTAATAGTACATGTATCTGTAACCCAGTTAATACGTCTATTTAGCATATTTGCAAGGTCCATCTTGCTGGACGATTCGAAAGGCATCCCTACGGCCAGTCATGAAAACTCTCCTGTTTGTCATTCAACCCCTAAGGAATGCAAAAATCTATCCAACTTCCAAGGTAGTCTAGCCTGTTGCCCTGATGCTCCTGGCTCTTGTAGATAGCTTCGAACTCGTCGAAGCTCAGTTTGCCCCATCCGCCTCTCTTGATAGCCTGGGCCTCTGCAAGACTCAAGCGCTTCCAGTGCCGTAGCATGTCTGATGTGGGAGCGCTATCAGTCTCTTGTTCCTCATCAACGCTATCGCTATCGGAACTGTCGGGTGAAGGCTGTGTGACGGGGTAGTATAAAGCTGGAGAAGTAGCCGCAACATCCGATGTGTCGGGTCGGAATTGAGGTAGAGTAGGATCTTGGTCTTGACCCTGAGAAACCGGCATAACTTCCTCGGTTTCTGGTTTGGGAGCTGGTTCTGCTGTTCCGTCTTCGTGGATGGTTTCTACTGTGGTATCAATTTCCACGGCATTTCGTCCTTCGGGCAAGGCGATGGTGTATCCGGTTTCGGACAGGAGTTCCTCGAGGCTCTTATCCGTGGCAGACCTGACCTTAACGTCACCCTCGCCTACGGATTTGGAACTTTCATCATCACCAAGTTCGATGGTATCTAACACATCTTTGTACCTTTCTCGTTGTTCTTTCGTTTCAGCTGCTTCAACAGCAAGATCCTCCGCTGGCTTGAATATAGTGTCAAGTAGTTCGTTGAAGGCTTGCTGAGTAACTTGATAGAGAATCTCTTTGCCCGCATCGCGCTCAGCATGGGGTAGTCTCCCTTCTGGGATATGCTCAGAAGCGCTGCTGGGCGAAGTCGTCGTATCATAGTCTTCCTGTTCCTTGACATCGCCGTTGGTGAAGCGGGCCTTCGACCCGTTTTGCGCCGCTGAAGAGCCGTGTTGTTCGTATTTGTTCGATTCCTCGTCCATCTGGCGTAAATCCCTGAGAATATCCTCACTGCCTTGCCAATCATCTGGCTCGACTCCGCCCTCCTCTTCATCGAGGTAGAATTGTCGCCTCCGCCATCTCTCGTGCAGTTGCTTTCGCGCCATGTCCCGTTTTCGCTTGTCGATTTTGGGAACCCTGCTACGTTCTTTGGCAACGGTCCCGGCCCTGATTTCGCTTTCTGTCCTTGAAGGCCCCCCTACACCGTTCTCCTCGTTGCGGGTTCCATTAACACCGTCAGCGGCTACTTCGCCATCCTCATCCTCATCATCAGAAGGCTCCTCGATCTCTGGGTGAATGGTTTCCATAATAAGACCAGGAAGTTCCTCTAGAGTTGATGGTGGTTCCAAAAGCGCTACCCAGTATGTACGGTCAATTTCGCTGCCGCTCAGTCGACGCATCGTTCGCCAGTTGCTATCAGTGTCGTTCCTTGTGATGTATTGTCTTCGGGAACCAAAGCGACGATCGGTGTCATAAGCAAACAGATTGGTCAGAATGTCCCCTCGAGCCGCTGTGTCACCACGATCCGGTGCAACGACATTCTCATATCCTTCAGCAATATCCACGCTGCCATCTCGATGATACGTTTTGCCTTCGTGGCGGAACTGACCCTCGCCGGGAGGAACTCTGCCCTCGCGTCCAAACAGACTGCTCAGTGGCTGGCGGCTGGTAACGAGTTGTTGAGCTTCGGTGCTAGCGAGTAATTGATCTTGCAGGCCATCTAGAATGTCCTTATGCATCTGCTTATAAAGCACATAATAAGCACGGAACATACGCAAAAAGTCCTTCCGGTCAACATATCCATCGCTGTCCAAGTCGTATCCAGTAAAAATCTTGCGCAGCTTGTCCTTTCGCTTTCGGTAGGATAATCCATGAAGAAACTCAGTGAATCCAATCAGGTCGTCGTTATTGTAGTCGTAGAAGGAAAACATTCGATCGTGAATAAGATTTGGTGCAGCATGACGGGAGCCCCCTGTAGGAACGAGGCATCGCTCAAACGTTTTGCGATCCATTGCGACACAAAGCTCATCAGGGTCATCCCTCCATTCCGAATTAGCCATGAATGTCCATTGCTCCCAAAATGCTTCCAACTCTGGCCTCTCGAAACCAGTGTCTTGCGACAGCTTGGGTATCAGACTGCGGGGCAAGGTACGTCTGCAAGTGTCTGGATCACCTGTGTACCAGACTGGTTGCATCTGCCTAGGACCGAAAGGTGGCGCGGGAATCCGAATTTTATAGAAGATGTGAGTCTTGATGTGAACACCTTGAGCTTCGCAGGTTTCGCATAGATCAAAGTCGGCACAGTTGGCGCAGCGATAACGGACTCCTCGAATGGGGACCATGCCGCACGAATTACACTGGCAACCCCTATGGACACAGCCATTCCGGCGAGCGTTATCTTCCGAGACGCGAAACAAGAGAGTGACAATGTTGTGTCCAGTTCGTTGACTCGAAGGAAAGGAACTTGGATCGTTCCACCATTCATCTCCACCATCGACTATCGTCTCGCCATCGCCTAAAGGTAGGGTCGTCTCGGCGTTGACATTTTCATCACCTGCAGCTTCAGACGATGAGCTTGATCCATCCTCGTTTCGCCGGTTCCGTCGTGGACGTCGTATGGCATTGCTCCTATGCAGACCACCACCTGGCAGTGTTTCGAAGCTCTGCGATCGGACTTGGTATGCATAGTATCCTGCTGAGAGCGCAGCCACTGCAGAGACTACGGCCACAGCTAACCGTGGCCGTGTTATGCTCTCGACGGACGGCGTCGGTAACCACATTGTGGGTTATATCATGTGTGTCGCATGATGCTGAAGCTAGACGTGTCAGGGGAGCGGGAGTCGAGGGGTATTGAATGTTTTTAAAGTTTTGTTCGGGTATACAGCGCGTTATTCGAGATATTGGGTTTATGATGAGCGGGGTTTGTAAGGTTGTATTTCGGTCGATTGAACAATGAATTGTTTCTGATGATGACAAAGCTGCATTTAAGCCATGAGCTCAGTTAATTGTAATGAATGGGATGGAAGCTTGAAGTTTTGGTGGAGAAGACACTCAAGTTAGACCTGTCTACTGGGTAGCAGAAAAAACAACCTCTTAAGTCTCAGGGTATAAAAATAAGTAGTCTAAGAACCACAACCCAGGGGGCATAAGGTGACCTACTAATTTCGTCTCTCATGTTTCTAGCGGTCAATTGTTCTGATACTCTGGGGCCTGTCTAGCCTGTTGCTGGTACTAATCGATAGGCGATGGTACGTGCCCCAAAACCAAAAATCTAAAGTGGAGCCTGCCCGCCATCAGAAAAGTGATGATGCTTGTAGTGGACGAATATGGAAGTGGATATGCGTAGGTTAAACGGAACTATCATGGGCTCTGTAAATCCTCAGCCCACTCTCTAAAGATCCAATTTTACTTCTCTCAAGCTTCCAATTGATCATCTACACCTTCAAACAAAGTCTCTGCCAACACAATGGCTGACGCTCCTCCTTCACTTCCGGGCCCTATGCCCTCGTCCTTTGATGGTGAAGGGTATGCTTCATTTGTCCCAGCTTGCCATACCTTTTACTCCCCGCTTATGCGATAGTCTAGGGAAATTCAGAATGAACGTCCTATGCAAAAGGTTGTTCGCAAGATCAAGGAAGAGCCTCTGATCCCTCTCGGTAAATCCCCCTTCTGTGGTGATCATTGCCAATGCACATGACATAGCTTCTAACAGCTCCGCTTTCGCGATATAGGAATCGGTTTAACTACTGCTGCCTTCATCAACGCCTACCTCGCCCTTCGCCGCGGCGACTCAAAGCAGGCAAACCGCATGTTCCGAGCCCGTGTCGCAGCCCAGGGATTCACCGTTTTCGCCATGCTTGCCGGCAGCATGTACTACCAGAAGGACCGAGAGAAGAGCAAGGAGCTTCGCCAGCTCCAGGAGCAGAAGGATGCCGAAGAGAAGAGGCAGAAGTGGATCAGAGAGCTTGAGGCTCGTGACGAAGAGGAGAAGGCCATGCGCGCAAAACTCGAGAAGAAGAGACAACAAGTTCAGGCACAGCGGGCCGAGGAAGCTAAAGCAACTACTGCGCCTACCGAGGGCTCCGAATCGTCCAGCAGTGGAGGCATCTTGAGTCGAGTTGGTTTATGGTCCAAGGGAGGCAAGGACGAGAAGAGCAATGTCGAAAAGGTTGTTGAGGAGATTGTGGATGAGGAAAACGCCAAGCAGAAGAAGAAGAACCCCAAGAGCTCTCTCGGCGACCTCGGCGAAATCATCTCCAAGAGAAAGGATTAAATACTGAACTTGTATATTACAGCAGTTGGGAATGAGGGAGGTTTGTACAAAAGTTTCGTGTGCTGAACCATAGTAGTAGCACATCATGTATGATATGGAAGTTAGGCAACCTTGATGATTGTAATTGGAAAAGGCTGTCTTTTCCCTTGCCTTTGCACAAATTACGTGCCGTTTGTGGTGCTCACAACCAATCGCTTATCACGACAACATTCAAGGCTCGCACTCAAGACTCATTGACCTCGATACCAAGAGCAGAACCGCAATTACGATACAGGACTATTTCTTTATTGCAGGGCGGTCTAACAATCTGGTATCCCTATGTCATCGAACCACCGCTTCTGTTACCCCCAACTAACCCTGCCATCTCTAGCAATGCCCGATCAGCCTCTATATCCCCGGTGCCCAAATTGATTTTGCGACGTGCTTCTGCTTCACGTTCCTCCCAGGCCCATTTCTCGGCTTGCGCCTGTGCTTCTTTGTCACCACCACAGCCCCATACCTCAAGGCTTTCGATCTGAAAACGATCTTGGAAATCGTGCTTCCTTACTACACTCGAATGGAACGCGCCGCCTCGAGAAGTATAATCATGGTTGAAAACCGCGAATTCGAACGAATCATCAAGTAGCAACGATACGGGGCCAAGGCGTAACATATCGGGCTTTCTGTGAGCTTGAGAAGGATGCGGGTGGGGACACCCAAATGACAACATAGGATGATGTGCTGGAGCTTTCGTAAAAGTGACATAGTCCTTGTTGATGGTCGACGCTGGAAAGACGTCATGAATGGGCTCAAGCTGAAAAAGAGTTGTTTCAGAGTCACCGAAGCATTCTCGATGAGTGTGCTTCCAAGGTTCTCGAACATAAACACCAAACGTAAGTCTATCAGACTTGCTGCCGTGCGGGAATCGTTTCGGGGGTAAGGAAGCTGCAAAGCTTGTCTCTTGACCACCCTCTGGTTCATCGCCGAGCCTTGTTCCACTCACTAGCAGCAGTGTGGGAGCTTGCCAGTTGAACACTTTTGTCTGAAAACTTCCCATAGAGAATCCTGCATCATTTCCCGAGTACAGTAACCTGACTCGTCTGAAAAGATCCGCGCCAGGGAGGAATAATGAGATCTGAGAGAGGGTGTTTTGATTTAGTATATCGCCCGGGTTGGTTAGCAAAGGTTGTGCTGTTTTTGGTGGCGACGTTGTCGCAGGGGTACCATTCTGTTGCTTGGAAAAGTCTAGGTTTTGGGAGAAGAGGAAACGCTCAAAAAGACCGTTGAAGCCACGGAAAAGATTAGGACAAATCACAGGTATGATAGTTCTGAAATGATGGTACTTGATGCCGGTTGATGTTTCGGCGTTGACGAAGGAGGCAAGAATACACTCGGCAGCTCCACGGAGACCTTCGAGTTCTTCGTCAACTATGCGACTTGAGTACATGGACAGGCTCTCTTGAGGATCCAATGGGGCCGCCAGCAAGAGGAGCATGACGAGCTTCCGAAAGTTGTCTGTCGGGATTGTTGCGCCATAGAAGATTGGCGCATGGCCCTGATCCACGGCGTCCTTGACATCTAGTAATTCAAAGGCGGTTAGAATAAGATCATCATCTTCGTCGTCTTCTTCATCCTCGCCGGCTGCATCCACGACAAAGCCAGCAGCGTGGGACCTGGGCTCTTCTTGGTCATCTTTTGGTTTGGGAGACTCAAGGTTTTTGGCATCTGGTCGAGGCCCTGCTTCTGAAATCTTGCGGTCAAACACAGCTAAGCTTTTGAAGAGCAGCTTGGTTCTGTCTGCTGAGCCACGCGCCAACACAGTCCGATAGCGCTCAGTCATGATGACGACGACCAGGATCATCCGTTGAAGTTCCAGAACTACCGGTGCCTCCTGTAGAAAGGGAAATGCGCCGATGTAAGATACCATCTGAAATATGACGGGCGAGGTGCCGAGAATGTCTGGTATCTCGAGGTATCGGGCAATGGTATCCTCCTTGAGGTATCTGATAGAGTCTTGTTGATCCGCAAGACTTTTAAAGACATCTCGAAGTGAGTACAATTCGAGAGAAGTGAAGCATTTCTTCTTAAACTTCTCCGCCTATAAAATTGTGGTAATTGTTGGTGAGTTCATTCTGGCGATAGCACATGATAGTAATGGCTGCTCACAAGTTGGTTGGTTAACTCTTCATGCGACCGCCGTTGCGGATGCTCATCCGACAGACTCTGACCCATTTTGTAAGAGCCACTGTGTTCTCATCACTCCGAAACTGTAGTATTGGTCTCCGATTGAGACAATTCAACAATTGATGATGATATGATAAGGTGAAAGACGAGAGTCTGCCTAAACGATTTCATGACATTCCATCTGTAGGTGGGCGAATTGGCTGACACAAGAAAGGTACGTACCCATACGTAATGATTTGCTCCTTCCCCTGTCGCTCTATCTTGCGCCAAGCCTCAATGACGGTCGGTACCTTCCTTCATTAGTTCATTAACACGTGAATCGGCAAGATGTCGGCCCGGGTTACTGTAGCTCCTCTAATGAAGCTATTCCCAGATTACAATCACAAAGTCATAATGACACCCTATCAGTACGACAATTTTCGTTCGTTATATGCCCAAGACAACTAAGAGACATGAGATCACGTCATCTCTTACTTGAAGTCAGATAATCTAACATGTTGTCTTCACCATATTCTTATCGCCATACAGCTCAATCCATTCATCTCTAATCCTCCTTCTCTTCAGTCTTCTTGAGAGCTTCGTCCACAGACTCATCCCAGGTATCTTTCAGCGTGCTAAGAAACTCGTCGCACCATCCATTCTTCTTCGACTGTTCAAGCTTCTCATCCAGATCTCTTTTTTCCACATTCTCGTTGCCGGTGGGCTGCTCCTCCGGGATCTTTGTCATCTCTTGATCACTCTCAAGTTGCAACTCTGGCAAGCTTGTCGAATTGGCGCTGGGGGAGCTCTCGATGTTCTCCGTCACCTTCTGGGCATCGGAATTCTTCTTCTCTTCTGGAGCGTTATCTTCATCGAGAATATCCTCCACAATTTCCTCCCACTTCAGATCAACGAGAACATCACGAGCTAGGTCGGTAAGCTTCTCAATGAATGATTCTGTGATCCTCTTGGCATAAAGAAACTCGCTATCAAGATCCACGTCAGGTTTCAGTTCTTTGGTGATCTTCTCGCGGACCTTCTTTGCGAGCTCCTTCAGCTCCTCAGGATCCAGCTTGTCTTCATCCTGTTTCTCCTTCGAGTCAGGAGAAACCTGGCGCTTGAAATTGGTACTGAAACGGTCGATAAGTTCGTTGTACTTGTGGCCTCCGTAAATCTGGCTGTACACCTCGTTGAGCTTTTTAACAAGGTGTGGAGTGAATTGTTCGCTCTTGATGAATTCATCGGCGAGATTCTTCTTGAAGTTAAGCTTCACGGCAATGAAACGACGCTCAGACTCGCTCATATTCGATATTTTGTCGAGTTGTTGGTCAGTGAGTTTGCGAGTGAGTCTGGGAATGTGTTGCCGCTTGCTTTTGGAAACGATCACCTTATCCTTCTTATATTGTTCGTAGCGAAGGGCGTATTTCTTGTTGAGCTTCTTGATCAATTCCGGCGTGAACTTTTTGGTGTTGATCAGCTCAGTCGAGAGTTTATCATCCAGGCCAAGCCTCTTCGCAGCCTTCTTGCGGATCATGGGACTCAGTTCCTCGAGCTTCACAATCTGTGTTTTACTGAGTTGGGGGGCCTTATCGGCTCGCTTGTGCTTGAAACCGATCTTGTCGAGAAGGCCCTTGCATTTGGGATCCTTGCTGATACGAGCACACTCCTTGTTGAGTTTCTCGATCAGCTCAGGCGTGAATTTCTCAGCATTTGCCATCTCAGTTGTAAGCTCTGGGTCCATGTTGAGCTTTTTGGCAGCCACCATACGAATAGAGGGACTCATTCTCTCGACCTTGCTGATCATCTCCTTGGAAAGCTCAGGCTCTGCTCTCTTAGATTTGAGCTTGGACGTGAATCTCTCGATAGTTTTCAAGTGTTTGGGATCGCTGGATATACGAGCCCACTCCTTGTTGAGCTTCTCGATTAGATCATCGGAAAACTTGTCGGCATTGGCCAGCTCGAGTGCTAGCTTGGGATCAAAGTCGAGCTTTTTGGCAGCCATCATACGCGTGGCCGGAGACAATCCCTCGATCTTGCTGATCATCTCCTTGGAAAGCTTAGGCTCTGCTCTCTTGGACTTGGGCAGGAAGTTCTCAAGGATTTTCGCGTACTTGGGGTCGTTAATCACGCGGGCGTACTCTTTGTTGAGCTTTTCGATCAAGTCATCCGACAGCTCCTCGGCATTGGCCAATTCCAGTGTAAGCTTGGGATCAAAGTCGAGCTTCTTGGCAACTATTTGACGAATTACCGGAGACAGTTCTTCGATCCTCTTGATTTCCTTTTCGCTAAGCTCCCGTGCCGACCTCTTACTTGTGGGGACGTATCTTGGTCTCCTGGTGATGAATTCAATGATTCTCCTGCCGTCGGCGGTTTCCAGAAGGACGGCATATAGCTCGTTGAGTTTGGTGATGAACTCGGGAGTCAGTTCTTGGAAAGTAAGGAACTCCATCTTGAACTCGTCATCCATCATGGGCATAGCGGCTATGAGTGCTTCTCGTTTCCAGGCACTGAGCTTCTCAATATTCAGGAGGTGAACGGTACTGAGCCTGGGGAGTGGCTTGTTGGGGTCAATCTTCTTGACCTCTTTGGGCTTCCCCTCCTTGGGCGGCTTCTTCTTGCAAGGTGCTCTCGCCTCAATACTCCTCTTGGCCAAGCCTCCCGAGTGACGGTGGATAAGTTTGTAATCTCTCTCATTGCTGTAGTCTTCGTGATCATTCTCGTACACTAAACCTTCAAGTCCAACAGGTGAGCGAGCCTTGTACTCAGTAGGCTCAGAGGCCGGACGAGGATGGTGTGTGCCAGGAGTCTTGGGGTAGTTCATGGCAATGCGTCTGTGTTCTCCAAGCTTGGGTGCCAACATGAACCAACCTCCCTCAGGACAATCCGCGGCGCTACGGCAGGGGACTTCAGTAACGACGCCAATTCCTGCCCACTCGAAACCCGGGATAACATTCTCGTAGCCTGGCAAAACGTGGTTCATCGTATCCTCCCTATAGTCGTGTCTTGTGTAGTCGGGCTCGATGACGATGTTGGTTCCGGTTATCCCAATTCGTCTGTGCTCTCCGTTCTTGGGCTCCAACATGTGCCAATGTCCACGGGGACACCCCTCCCTCTTTGCACAAGGAGCCTTGGTAACAGCTCCAGGACCTGCCCACATGAATCCTGGAACAACATTCTCGTATCCAGGTTCTTTGTAGTAGCCATGATGCTCACCTTTCTTCCGAGAGTAGCGCTGCTCGTTGGACTTGTGATCATTATGGCCAACCTCTTGCTTGCGGTAGAACCTGGCGCTCTCCGTGGGCTCGTGATGAGATGGGTAGTACAGTTGCTTGAGCACCTGGCCCCCATCCTCCTTAGAGTAGTCGGCTTTGTCGTCCTCCTCTTTAGCGTGGCGGCTCTTCTCATCAGAGTGGTTGGGCTTGTCGTTGTCTTCCTCGGGGTCGTACTTCCTGTAACCATACTTCTCTGCCTCATTGGGGTACCATTTTTCTTTCTTCTCTTCCTTAGGGAGGTACTTCTTATAAGAAACACTCTCAGGCTGGTCAGAATCGCCATGTTTGAGGTTTTCAAAGGCCTCCTCTGAGAGGAAAGATTTCTCCTCAGGATGGTACTCGTACTTAAACCCGTAGACCCCCTTCATTCCATACTCATCCGCACCCTTGGGAGAAGGATCATGCTTGGGGTGCTCTCCTTCGTCATCATCATGATACTGATTGCGGTCCTCCTTGTCGTAGTCAGGCTTCTTATAAAGCTCCCTGTTGTGGAACTGGCCCTCGCCGTCGATAGGATGATAGGGATCATCTTCTCCGTCGTACTCTGATTTTGAAACGGTCTCTCTCGATTCATCTTCATCGAAAGGATGCTTCGGCAAGTACTTCCCTGGGAACTTGTCGAAGTAGTGGAGATCGTCGTTCTCCTGCTCGTGCTTCTTAAAGTGGAAGAGCTTGTCATCCTCTACTTCAGCTTCATATTTCTCTGGAGAGTGATAACCGGGATTGAATATAGCCTCATCGTGCTGATTTTCCGTACTGAACTCATGGACATCCTTAGGATTGTACTTTTCGACTTCGGGTGGAGGGTCGGGGTATTTGGGCTTCTCTTTAAACTTGTAAGAATGGGTATGCTCCTCGTTTGGATCAAACTCCTGCAATTTGGGCCGGGTTTTGGATCTGGAGGAAGGGCCGTTAAATGGATTGTCGGGGGGCCATCTCTTGGAGTTGCTTCCATCAGAGTCGGGGCTTTCTTCCGGCTCATACTTTTCCGAGTGGTCGTGGTGATCTTTGGTAAAGTATTTGTCGAAATCCTGTTCGCTGAGGCCGTACTGATCATTGAAAGCGTCAATTTCCTTAGGCCCATTGTCCTTCTTGTGCTCGTAGTGGTGCTTCTCGGATTTGTAGCTGTTGTAATCGTGGTCATCTCCGAGATTGTTGTGCTTGTCCTTGTAGTCGTAGTCATCCTCATGCTCGTGATACTCATGGGGATAGTACTTTCTGACCTTGACCTTGGTGATGGTATGGCCTTCCTTGGGTTCGTACTTTTCCTCAACGCTGTATCCATGATGGGACTCGTGGTCGTGAGGATAGTAATGCTCGAGCCTATACTTGAAGTCGCCATGGTGTTCCTTAGACTCGTATTTGTCGGTCTCGGGACGAGTGGGCTCGATGTTTGAGTCTCTTTCGTAGGGTTCCCTAAATGTCTCTCGCTTTTTCTCCTCTTCATGGTACTCGCTGGGAGAGAAAGGAATAGCGTGAGCCAGACCTATCGGCGCCTGTATGGCGACGAGGACGGTGATGGATAGCCTCATGGTGAGTTACTCGTTCTTGCTAAAAGGAGATATGTAAGTCAAGTAGTACCCGAGATGTTCCAAGGATAAAGATGGCAACAGAAAAAGAAACAAAAAAAGTCAGAAGATAGGACTAAGGGCTAACTTATAGCTAAGAGAGGGTATATGTTCTTTATGATTATTGCGGATTGACTACCCCTTCCACTTTTTCCACTGCCGCCATGGCCTGATATCGATTTGTGTTGAACCGAGATGTGATGAAGTCCATCCCCGTGATTGGTGTTCACATACATAGAGAGTTTCGTGGATATCCGATCATCATGTTTCTCAATATGATGCCACTCGCACAAAACCCAGCCTCAAACAATGAATTCAGCAATACCATTCGCCCTCGCAAAGCCCCTCATTAATCAGGTTACTCAATCATATTCAGCATAGCAATATCACAGGAACCTCATTGAGCTCAGGTAGGGCCTGTTATCAAGATTGTGCCACGAAAAAGTAACTTCAGAAACTTGTCTAACCGAGCATCTGTAGGTTGTCCTAGTAGTATTAAGTCCCGAATACCATGCCTGGTGATCAATGTTCCAACCTCTTGAAATGCGGGGGGATATTGTGTTCGGGGACGGCCTCAATCTTCGACAAGATCATTCGATAGATGCCACTTGTCATCAGACTCGAGTCTCTTTCTAAGTCTTGATGTGCAACAGAGTTCCACGAGAAGCACCAGAGCCAGTTATTAGACACACTGAAAGCCGAGTTCCGCCTCCCTCGCCATGCCATAAGAATGATAGGACAAAAAGACTAAGGAGTCCCAATCTATAGCCAACGGCGGATAGCGTTTACCACAAAGTGGTATTGCACCATTTCTACTGAATAAGAATAGCATTTGAGGTAATTGTCTGCTCATGTCTTGCTTCTTTATCAGGAGGCGCTCAACAAACCTTGCGGAGTTCATCACATACTGGGACTTGGCGGATGAATGTCAGGATGCCATCTGAGAATACAGCCAGAACAAGGCAATGGCCGAGTCTCTTAAACGTACTTGAGGCAGCTTTAGCCTGCATGCTGAATCACTTTACTGTAAGTGTTTGTTCTGTACATATGTACGGCCAATATCAAGCTCGTACAGCATTCGCTTGATTTAATGTATCTAGTTCAGTACGATATGCATGTGACCAATCCTTATAACAAAATGATAACCTACTCCACGCTCCAGACTTCGCCAAACTTCAATCCCGAGGAGTTTGCGCCGACAAAGAAATAAGTTTATGCAAAAATAATGCCATACAGAAAACCATACAGGTCAAGCCCCAGTATGTTTGGCGGATACTTGGTTGATCAAGCGCTGGTACTTGGCCTCTGCCTCCTGCTCGGCATCTCGCGCGGACTTGGACAACCGCCCTTCCACCGGTGGCGTCTCTGAGTTCCCCTTAGATGTCCAGAGAACACCGGGTTTCGGTGCGGACTTTGATTCAATTGCCACGTCAGGTTTAGGTGTAGAGGCATTGGTTCTTGGCTCCTCCGAGGCTGTGCCGTCCTTCTCGCCGTCTGGAGAGGTCTTGGGAAGCCTCATGGCCAAAAGCACATACTCGGCCCTTGTCATATTGTCCATTACATCATCCATGTAACGCCGGACCTCATCCTGAGGAGCAACAACTCGTGCCAAATTTTCCAATTGGCGACCAGTCTGCGTGAAGAGACGTATCGTGACAGGCTGGTAGTAATCAAGCTTCGGATCTCCACCATACTCTGAAGTGCTTCCCTTACGAACAATCAGAAATGAAACCACGACTTGTTGACCGGATGCCGTGGGTAAATACTCTAATATGCTAAACTTGGGGAACAGATATCGGTCCCCACTTCCAAAATCGAACACAACTGCCGTAATATCTTGCTTGGGTGCAGGTGGAGGCCCCTTAGATCGTAAAGCCTGGGGATTGGGCGAAGATACAGTCGAATTCGTTTTAGTATGACCGTTAGGCATACCATTCGGAGCCTGCTGTCGAATTTGTACCGGAGCAGGAGAAGCTTGCGGTGCGCTCTTCATGTCGCGGTGCAGTCTATCCAGAATTTCCTTCAGATCTATAGAGTCGGTGAAGCCTGGCCGGCTTTCTGCAATTCTGCGGATCATGTCTCGAACCTTTTGGTCGTCCAAGGCAGTTTTTACAAGTTGTACGACGAGCAGATCGCTTCCATGAGGTGGCCGTAAGTCAGACGATTTTTGATTGGGATTTGAAGCCAAAACAATGTCAAGAATTGTCCGAACTTCGGTAGCAAAATACTGGACCGTTCGACCATCCACTAGAAGTCGGTCTGCTGATGGTCCTTGCTGTCCTCCTGTTCTCCGATACTCCGCACTTAATTGATCGATTATTTTCTGGAAATGGGCTAGCTCGCCGTCTTTAGCTTGTCCTACAGCCACCCGCTTCATAAGATCACGAAGTTCCGCGTCTCCTGAGGCTCTTTGTGCGAGCAAGGTAATAACAGGGTCATTTGCTGATGGTTTTGCTGCAGGAGCAGGCCCAGAGGCTGCAGACCCTGGAGCTGGAGGTCCTGGAGCTGGGGCAGGCTTTGCAAGACCACTCGCGGGTGCTTGGGCGTTCGGTGGTCTGGGTGTAGACATTGCAGGAGCCACCATCGGTCCAGCTGGCGCTGGTGCTGAGACCGGTGCAGCCGACCCAGAAACACTGGGAGGCGCATGCGCAACTGGTGGAGCCGCTGGAGATGGTGCTACAGGTCCTCCTGCGGCTTGTGGCCTTGGCTGAAATGTTGGGTTTGGAGGTGGTGTTATGTTGGGTAGCGGAGCATTCCCAGGCTTCTGGGCTGGCGCCGGGACGCCTTTATCTTGCGGCGCTCGAGGAAGAGGTTGAGGTGGTTGCGCCGGACTTCGAGCTATACCCTGAGATGGGCTGGGTGGTATGGGTTTTGGTGTCGCTGCCTTGTTCTGGCTGGGGGCGCTGGCTATTGATGCTTGGGGTGCGAGGGGTGGAGGCATCGAGCCATTCGGGGGCCCATACTGGATAATTGGACGTTGTTGCGGTTGCTGCTGTGGTAATGGTTGAATTTTTGGTTTCGGGTCTTTGACCACGTACATCGTAGCTTCGATTATATGAGGCTCGACGGTGATTGTCACATTGCCAACCTTTGACATGGTCTCCTTGGGCGGGTTTTTGGGGTCTTCGATGAGTACGCCCTTGCGCTTGTGCGGTTTCGTCCAATATTTAGCAAACAGACCCTCGCTGATCCATTTATGACGAGATCGTGAGAGCGACTCGGCAAGTACGCCGCTTGAGTAACGCGTCAGTCAATTTGATTCTCTAATGCAGTTTAGCATGACGTACCTTTCACCAACGGACTGATATTCCTTGGAAGAGAGATCCTCAGGCTGGGCAACTTCAACAGTGGGCAACGGTTTACCAGCTTGGACCGACTTGGGCAACGGCGGTGGCGGAGGCTCTTCTGGCTCCGGATCTGGGACTGGGACTGCTGCTGGCGGGGGAGCAGCAGGTGTCGCAGAACGCTCTCGAGGTGTAACATTGCGCTTCTTCGCGGCGGATTCTCCTCGAGCAGCTGCCCGCGCGGGCATTTTACGCTTTCGCTCCATATGACAGCTTGTCCAGGAGACAAACTACAGAATGCGCAACGGAATTATACTTGGAAGCGAAAGCCAACCATGATATATAAGGAGCATGCAAGGCGCGTCTGGATACAATGTGGACGTGTAGAGCTCAGTATTCGAGTGCTTTCGTAATGAAAAGGGTCGGATGGTGAGATGAAGCTGGAGTTGGATCAGAAGGGCAGGTCGAGGGAGTATGGAGGTGGAAGATGCAAGGTGGGAATGGAGGCTCCCATTGGAAAGAGGAAGTAATAGAGCAACAGCCACGGCCAGAAATCCGAGGCTCAGTGGTGCAGGTCCGACACCTTCATAATGGAGCCCGGAAAGTAAAATGAAGAGATTCGATTGGTCAAAAAAGGCGGAGGAGCCAAGCACTGCCAGTTCTGGACTGGAGCGCGGGCCTATGAATTTGGCACTGCAGCGCCTAGAGTGAAATAAGAAGCTGGGGCTCAGGGGACTTTACAGCCTGTCGAAGCCTGTCCGCGGAAGCGCCGCAAGAGTGACCGTGATATCAGATGAGTGATAAACATGGAAATAAAAAATAGCAGCTGTTGATTAGAGTCTACTAGGCGAATTGGGTTATTGTATGTATGTACAGCAATATCATCAACAATTGTATACGTTATAATGTAACATCTCTTCCAATCAAGTTCATTTGTTGACCCAATATTGTCGATTCGCGGCTCTTCTGTTGCTCAAGTGGGTGGAGCCACGGGCAGCCGCATCAGACGCGCCTCAAGGTACTTGTATGCACTTGTAATTTTCCCCGCGTGATAAGTCCCACTGCTGATCACTGATGCTTTAGCGCGAACAAAGCAACGTCAGGTCTTGCGGCTGATTATTGTGGCAGCGTAAGGACAGGAATAATACTCACATTAATCCCTGCAGTCTTTTTACTTTTACATTTCTTTATAGACTCCTTATACTGTACTCGGCCTTTCTTTTTCTAATCCTATCATCACCAACCAAATCATGACGTCTCTACATCCTGCCTTACGGGCTGTAATTGCTGTGGTTGCAGCGCCACTGAGTCTGTATTGCGTCTTCATCGGTTTGGGTATGACGCCTTTCTTTCAGAGACAGTATGTTGACCTCGATCTTGAGCTATTCTTTCTGACATCTCACATGCAGTTTCTTGTACGCTCATAAAATCAACACATTATTATGGAGTAATGTGAATCAACCAGAACGATGGGGTTTCGCTCGTAGGTATATATCAATCAAGCTCATGACGACGACTCATAAATATTTCAATTAGGAAACCAAGTCACTCCTTTCTCGCTCAAAACTCCTGACGGAGAGACCATATATGCTTGGCATATTCTTCCCCTACCGCTTTATCTCAAGAATGAAGCCTTAATCGAATCACAAGAACCAGGGTTTTCAGCTGATTTCACCAAAACTGAATCATTCCGCCTGCTAAAAGAAGATCCAGAATCTCGACTTGTTCTGTACTGTGAGTCTCAACTAGACATATTCTCGCTTGGTCATCGCTCACATCTTTTCCAGTTCATGGTGTAAGTCATGTTTATAAAACGTCTGCCAATATCAACTGACGTCACAGAACGCCGGCCATGTCGCACAAGCTATCAGACCTCTCAGCTACCACTCGTTAACCGACACCTCATCATACCATGTTGTCGCTATTGACTACAGAGGATTCGGCCACTCGACAGGCTCGCCTACTGAAACTGGAGTAATTCAAGATGCTGCCACACTTGTGGAGTGGGCTACCAAGGTTGCAGGTGTCCCAGCCAGCCGCATTGTTCTCCTTGGACAAAGTCTAGGCACAGCCGTGGTCAGTGCAGTCGCCGAAAAGTACGCTTTACAGGGTGTTGAGTTTGCCGGCATCACCATTGTCGCAGGTTTCAGCGACTTGGCCAATCTTCTGTTGGGCTATCGTATTGGAGGTGTTGTCCCTGTCCTCGCACCCTTCCGAGTGTGGCCTACGCTCATACGTTTCATCCATCGATTCGTCGTCGACAAGTGGCATTCAGATCACCGTTTGGCTAATGTTGTGCGGCACACAAAAACAAGACTCAGGCTCAATTTGGTCCATGCCAAGAACGACAAAGACATTCCATGGACAGAAGACAATAAGCTGTTTCGAGCTGCTGTCCAAGAAATGATTGGGGTAATGGACGACAAAGAATTCGCAGCTTGGAAAGAAGAGCGAACTGTCCACAAGGGAAAGGATGCATTTGTGGCCACTTGGACAGCTCAACCCGACATGATTATACGTCAAGAACTTTTCCCCTATGGCGGTATGTTAAATACATCTACGCGAATCCAAGAAGTATAAAACAACTAATGCGCTGGCAGGCCACAACGATATCATGGGGCATTCACCTGTTGCGCTGGCCATCATGAGAGCATTTGATCTTCATGGGACGACTTATAATAATGACGACGATACTGATTCCAAATAGTAACTGACTTGGAATTATCGCTCACGTCAGCGCCGGTACGAGTCTTTTTTGTTTTTCTTGATCTTTATATCAATTGGTCGTTCGAGTGAGTATTCCTACTCAATATCTTGCCCTTGCTTAGAACATAATAGAATCGCTCTATTCTTTCGTTTGCTTAAAATGGATATATGAAAGAACCACAGTTTCACAGGATAAATCGGACGGGTAGTCTCTTTCTGTAGTATATTCGTTTCAAATAGTATAAAAAAGTGTCTACTCTGTCAGATTCTTGCTTACTTCGTCGGTGTTATGAGCATCCTGCTTCGAGTTGATTTAGTTAATATGCGTAGCTATGTACATAAAGATTCATTATTTTACAAAAATAAACCGCAAGTTAAAATCTAGGTTTTACTACTTAATTCTTTTATTCCAAGATCTCATGTTTAAGGTCGAATAGGGTGAACCCCTCCTGTAACAGGACAGGCACATGTTACCGCAAATATCCCACTAATAATTACCCCACCAAAGAGCTCTTGCTTGATCCCCCACCTCACGTACATATCTAGTTGTCCGCACCTACATCAACTCAACTACACCAAAGGTCCATCCCGAACCATGTCTGAGGAGTCCAAGCCAGTTGAGCCTGTCGTCGAAGAGACGAACGCCGAGCTCAAGGGTAAGGCAGTCGAACAAGCCGATCCCGAAGCCGACGAACATGCCGAGTCCGCATCCGAGGAAGAGCACGAAGAGGAGCATGCCGCCGAAGGATCAAGCGACAAGAAGAAGAAAAAGAAGAAGAAGTCGAAGCGCTCAAAGGTCAAGGAGGCTCTGACTGGCTCAAAGTCCGCCCCGTCCGATGCCGACTTCCACAAGGCCCTCGATGGCCTCACTCCTCAACAAATCAAGGAGTTCCTTGCTCTGAACCCGGCCCTTGCCCAGGAGGTGTCCAAGGCCTCCAAGAGCGACAACCCCTCCGCCAACCAAGCTGCCGATATGCTCAAGAATATGTCCCTCCAGGATATCATGACTGGTCTTGCCGCGGGTGGAAAGAACGCCAAGGATATGGGATCATACAAGTTCTGGCAGACGCAGCCTGTCCCCAAGTTCGGAGAGGATAACAACTTGGAAGAGGGTCCTTTACGAATTCAAAAGGTCGAGGAGGTTGACAAGGAGCCTTCACCTTTGATTCCCGGCTTCGAGTGGGTTACCATGGATTTGACCAAGGAAGAGGAGATCAAGGAGGTCTATGAGCTACTCAACAAGCACTATGTTGAGGACGACGAGGCCATGTTCCGTTTCAACTACTCGCCAACTATTCTTCGCTGGTAAGTTGCAGATCTTCTGAGCCCATGATGAGATTATCATTGTAGAACAGTTCAGACTGACATGTACAGGGCCATGATGCCTCCTGGCTGGAAGAAGGAATACCACGTCGGTGTACGCGCCTCTCAATCCGGCCTACTTTGCGCTTTCATCTCCGCCATCCCCGTTCACCTGCGTGTTCGCAACAACGTAGTCACTTGTTCCGAGGTCAACTTCCTTGCCATCCACAAGAAGCTTCGAGGCAAGCGTCTCACGCCAGTGCTTATCAAGGAAATCACACGACGCAGTAACCTTGACGGTATCTGGCAAGGTCTTTACACTGCTGGTGTCGTCCTTCCCAAGCCTGTCAGCACCTGCAGATACTTCCATCGTGCCATTAACTGGCAAAAGCTCTACGAATGCGGTTTCAGCCCTCTTCCCGCTAACAGCAAGCCTCAATACCAAGTCCGCAAGTATGCGCTGCCCGACGACACAAGCATCAAGGGTCTGCGACCGCTACAAGAGAAGGATATCGAGGCCGTCATGGACCTGTATCACCGTTACAATAAGCGCTTCGATATGACACCACAGATGTCGCGTGAGGAAGCTCTTCACTGGTTCTTGCCCAAGACTGGACCCAATGAGCAGCAGGCTGTGTGGACCTACGTTGTTGAAGTAAGTCTCCAGAAAGTCAAAATAGACACACACATTGATACTAATACATTGCGCAGGATGAGAACAACAAGATCACTGACTTCTTTTCTTTCTTCTGCATTGAGTCTACTGCTATTGGCAACACTAAGCACAACGTTATTAAGGTTGCTTACATGTTTTACTATGGCACAGAGGTCGGTCTGCAGGAGAAGTTCGACAAGGCTGCCCTCAAGAAGCGCCTCAACGATCTGGTGCACGATGCCCTTATTGTCTCCAAGCGCTACAAGTTTGACGTTTTTAACGCTCTGACGCTGATGGACAATGCGCTCTTCTTGGAGCAGCAGAAGTTTGGCGCTGGTGATGGTCAGCTTCACTACTACCTGTTCAACTACCGTGTTAACCCCATCGCCGGTGGTGTTGATCGCAAGAACCAGCTCGACGAGGAGAACCTGAGCGGTATTGGACTAGTGATGCCTTGAGGTAAATGTTTGGATTGTGCATATGATGGTGTAGAAAGAAAAAAAGAGTATGGAAAGGTGAGGAATGACGAGATGGAAATAATTTCATATTTAGCGAGCACGATCAATCATGGGTTGGTTCTCTAACTCTTTCCTTTTCGACCGTATGCACTCCTAGCAGCAAACCAGTGACTAGTCCAAGATGCATAACGCTTAAAGCTGACGAATACATTTTCAAGTTCGTCGCTAACTGACAATCTAATTCTACTCTGTGATCTTTTGAGGCTTCAGAGTTTCCCATCTCATCCTCGTCATAATCGCCATCTTTGAGAGACTGGAATGTGAAACGCAGCATCTCAGCTACCATACCAGCCATGCTCGGATCTCTATCCCCCTTGGCGCGTGGCGTTAGTGCCGAGGTCAGGAAACAACGTCGCAGTAGATATAGCGAAAGTGACGGGTTGTGATAGATCTGCTTTTATCTGTTCTCTCTTTCTCTCCACTTTGAACCCTGGTTCAACTGTGCCTCGAGAGGGGAATTATTTGCTTTTTTCTCCTTCGTTTTCAAAATTACATACATACTGCAGAACTTGTCATTCATCCGTTGGTATTTTTTCCCCATCTTCTTCATTCCTCGTATTTATTCGCGTAGTATACTAGTGACGTTTTGGTTAACCTGCAATCTTCGCGTACCCAGGCATTATCAAGCAGCATCGTTACGCTTCTCACGACGGCACAGCTCAGACCTTCCTGTGAGCTCAGGAAGCTACACAGCCGTGTTTGCGCCGTAGGAACCAGTGATATAAGAACAAACAAAACTCCCGAGTATCTATCATGGCGTCTGACATGTGAGTCCTCGATCATCATCCTCTTTATCCTCCTCAACACAATGTTCTTCATTTTTACAGCATTAGCTATTATTGCTTCGCTCTTTTCATCTCACTTGTTCTTATGTGTGGTTTCAAACGTCACTTACACGCGATGCGTCAACCTAGAATTGCTTCGCTTCCCTCTGCTGAGGAGACGCTGAGCCATCCAGCCTACTTAACCACTCTATGGGCGCTGGAGCCTACTTCTCAAGGCAAACTGTCTGTGGCTGAAGGTCGCGGCGGTCCTGTCGGTATTGCATGGGAAGTTCACGGTGAAGGGCCCGTCAAGCTTGTGGTACGTTTCTCCCGTCAAATATCCTCAATCTCTCCGTCTACGTATCACGTCTCCGCCAGTTCCGTTTGGTTACATTCGTCTCCAGTCATGACGAGTGAAATATGAGAGAACCCGCTGACACGAATGTAGCTTGTTATGGGTTTGGCAAGCGTCAAGACTTCGTGGCAGCGTCAAACAAAGCATTTCGGCCATGATCATGGCGACAAGTACTCAGTTCTCATCATCGACAATCGTGGAATGGGTGCCAGCGACAAGCCTTTCGGTATCTATTCCACAAGCGGCATGGCGCTCGATATCATCGAGGTTATTGACCATGTTGGCTGGACGGCTGAGCGCGAGATTAACCTCGTAGGTATCTCCATGGGCGGCATGATAACTCAAGAGATTGCTATTCGCATCCCTGAACGTCTGCAAACCCTCACTCTCATCTGTACCTCGGCACGCGTTCAGAACACAACGGGCTTCTTGGAGACTATCGCGGACCGCATGGGATGGTTGGTTCCTAAATCCATGGAGCGTACCATTATCGACACATCTCTCAAGCTCTTCACACCCGAATGGCTCGTCGCACCAGATGACGAGATACTACCCGAGCCCGGCGTCACTCCGAAATGTGGTCCGCCTCCGCCAGAAGCTGGTCCAACATACCGACTGTTCGATTCCAACTTTCAGCGCTTCCAAGCTCAAGAACTTACCAAGAAGCGAAACCCCGAGGTGTTCAGCAGCACTATGCTCATGTGTCAACTTGCAGCAGCGGCCATGCATAACAAATCAGACGAGCAGCTGCGCCAGATAGCAGAGGCCGTTGGGTCTGAACGCATCACTGTCATGCATGGAAAGCGCGACAACATGATCACCTTTCCCAATGGCGAGAAACTTATCGATGTGTTGAAGCCAGGTACCGTCCATATTGTGGATGATATGGGACATGCTCCTATCCTGGAGCGAGCAGAGTGGTTCAACAGTGTATTAGAAGAAGAGTTGAGTATGTGGACCAAGCCGAAGGAGGAGTAAGAGTAAGCAGCATTTCAAACATGTGAGCGGTCTTGAGGTTTGGTTGGTTCGTGGCAGAGAACAAGTGAGAATGTACGAGCTATAATTGGCAGAGGGCACGAATGAAGGGGCTGGTTTACATGTCTTTAATCCGAATACCTAGCAGACGCATCATGACACAAATTCGCCTATTGCCTAGCAATTGTTCAGAGTCATCGAACTCGACTCTATTCCAGCTTCTATCATATTGTGCATCATTTTTAAGCTGTCTAATGGATAGTCCATCTTCTTAGCACTCCAAGAAGAACCCAGCCTCTAACTTTCGATGATGAAGTAATTCCTGGTTTTTGATATGCACGTCTTAATAGCCATGTCCAGGTAATGGCTGCTTTTGGGTAAGAGATGTATCTTCCACGCATCCTCCACTAGCGTAGAATTTTGATACTCGGTCTATAAAACCAACCCTTTCTATCATATGAAGCAGGTACTTTTGATTCATGTCAGTCCGTTCACCTCTCACCGGCGAAGCGTCGACCCTGCACCTCGCTCAGAGCCTTGACTCCACTCAAGAAGGCCACGGTGCTAAGACCCATAAAGACGGGCAGCAGCTGGAAGAGGTTCCACTTGATGTAGTAGAGAAAAAAGGATCCCTCAATGGCGATGATGGAGCCGACAAAGAGACCGTGTGAAAGGGGGGCAGTTTGAAGAGCCTTGGGCAGGTGATCGAGGTTGCCGCCCATCCAGTACCACTATGCACATGTTAGCTCGAGACATTATGGTAGAATATATTTACATACCGCCGAAAGAAGCACGGGAAACGTGCACACAATGGCAGTCACAAATACAATAGTTATGATCATAGGAGGGCTCGTCTCGCCAACCTTGAAGATGTGGTGGATCTCGTCTCGAGGTTCGTAACGCAGGGGAGGCTCAAATGTGGGAAGGGGAGTGTTGGGCACATGATAGATCTGAATGTTGAAAACGGGAGAGATGAGGGGGTTGGATGAGCCGAAGGAGCCCAACACGAGGTTGACCTTGAGGAGTTCGTCGGAGAGGAGCAACGGGACAGGGAGGTCCTTGTGCGACTGAGGGATTGATTAGCTGGGTCGATGAGGAAGGAATGTGTAGTCGCATACGAAAGAGGCCACGGCCTTTCCAGAGGACTTGATGTCCAGAGGGAGGGCGACCTCGATGCCAGTCGACTCTGTAATGACGATGAAGGCCTGGTGAGGTCGCTTCGCTTCACTGTCTTCGGTCGTAGTCAATGAGACTTTGATGGTATCTGCCTTTCCTAGAATAAGAGCATCCTTGGCTGGCTCCTGGTTTTTGAATCTATTCCAATTAACGCTGTCAGCACGCATTCTTCCGCAATCGCTCTCCCATGATAACACCATCATGGCAACTCTGGAGAAGCTTACTTGGCAGTAGCGCCGTGTCCTTGCTTGGAGGCGACGGTAACGGAGCCATCTTTGAAGCTCCAAGACGAGGCAGCGCTAGCTGCACTCACCAGGAAAAGAAGTGACGATGCGATTGAGAAGCGCATGATATCGACGTTGTCGCAGGTCGATTCGGTTCGAGAAGTTGAGGCCAAGTGGATGGGACAGGACAGCTTGAGACTGGACCTCGAAACAGTAGCGTAGGTACTACCCAAGCTTGGGTTACGTGGTGGAAGTGTGTAGATTTGATTGGTCAAAGCTACATTCAAAGTGGAGATCAAAAGTGAGCTCCTGCTTCAGGGTAAATTCAAGGGAAACACCAATTCGAGGTGTTGGGGGATGTAGATATTAGGAAGTTTAACTGCTCAAAGAAATGATTAATAAGTATTAATATTGATGCCATCTTAGGCCAGTCCTTTGTGCGATCTTACTATCATGAGCTTTTTTATGCAATGATCGTAAATAAAAATACAATAAAATAAAATATCATGACTCATTTCTGCTGTAAATATTCAAGTCTCGAAAACAAACCAGTGGTATACGCATATTTCCTACTCGCTCTCGATCTCAGTCTGGAAGCCCTTGATGGCTTCTCTCTCTTCCGTCGTCAACCCGATTCCAAAATACTCCTTCAGTGCCTCCACTCTCTCATCCTCCGTCTTCAGCTCCTTCAACGTTATCGTCTTACCTCCAGGGTTCTCCTTGACTACATCATTAATCAACATACGCTTTCCATAAATCTCTTCGCCTGTCGTCGATGTCTTGCCCTCCCTCAGCATGAATTTCACCACTAGCACAGTATGTGTCTGGAAACTTTTAGGACTCGTGCCTGTGTAGCAATTGGAAATCTCGAAATCGGCAGGAAGCCACTCGACAGAGTGACTGAAAGAATAGAAGCTATTCCAGTTCTGATCCGGGGAGTTGCGGCATTGGTAGATCCAGAGACGGCGACCAGATGTAAGCTCTGTCTGACCGGGGATGAAGTCTTTGATGAGACGGGCATCCTGAGTGCCCATGTTGCGCCACTCAGCACCCTCGATTAAAGGCATGGGCCTGGTAGGGCCATCACCACCAAAAGACGCATCGATAACCCATCGGGAGTTATCAGGTAGTGTCACGATGTTGACAATGTGAACCCTAGTTGTAAGTCAGTGACCAATATTTCGGGAATAATAATTACGCAGATCAGGCTTACCACCCGGGATATCCGCCATGAGGAACACCGTCTTTGCGAAGACGGACTCTCACACCAACGGGATACACCTGGAAACCAAGAGCTCGAAGCATGTAACAGAAGAACAAATTGCTCTCCATACAGTAACCTCCTCTTCCATGCCCATCGAGCACAATCTTTTGATACAGAGCCTGAGGCTCAAGAATGACATTGCGATGCGACGAGTAATGCAATGTTAGATTCTCATAAGGTACCGTTGCAATCATGTGCTGATGCAGCACAGTGAGAAAGGCATGGTCAAGGATAGGTTCGTTGCCCACGTAGAACTCTTGTGGTACTTGGATATGCTTGAGAAACTTGGCGACTTGGGCCTCTGAGTATATGGCCGACATGGTGAGTGTATAATATGAAGACCGGGTCAAATGGTGTTTACTTGTCTCAGCTCAAGAGTTCAAGACTTGGGACGACGAAGCCGGGAGCAGTCACCACTTAAATAGAAGAACTAGTCAGGTATACAAACTCTGAAATGAGTCAAGAGGATGCAAAACAAGGCGACGCCAATTCCAATTACTACAAACATGTTGGCTACCTTACTCGTATGTCGCGCAAAAGCCGTTGCAGGAAGTTGGCCGTAACGTATCATGAACCTCGCTATCTCTCCAGACTCCATAAAAACTGTCCGGGGCTTAACATGGAGAAGGGACGAATCATCAAGACGCCCTCCTTGAACAGGCCGTGTCAAGGTTTATGATAGAGACGGCCAATCAGGACAATTCTGGCGTCTACTTCGGATGCTGTCTGTTAGTCTGACTCTACTGTTGGCGCATAATCGGAGAGAAATGCCTCTACGTCCTCGGTCCGTCCTGTACGGTATCCACGATGATCATGAGCGTTTTCTCAGTGTCCTTTTGATATTAAAGGTATTCAATGTGATACAGTGAAGAGGATAAATGCGCATATATCCTTGCAAATCTAAGATACCTCGACTCCGGTAATTTATAACATGAACCATTCATTCATTACATGACTCTTTCCATCATAACTAACCCGCCTTTAACGCCAAGTCAAGCCCCAAGAAACCCACCGACATTTCTCCAAGTGAACATGTACACTTGATGATTTGGCGGTTAAACTGCACCTTATAAGAGCAGTAATCATGACGATAAAATATGGTTGCTGCTATTTTAAAGTGCCGTTCAGCCGCCAAATCCTCAAAAGCACATACTCGTTTGGAGAAATGTTTCATGCACTTTTAATAGCTTCTCAGAGTTCTGTCCTCTTGCTCGATGTAGTTGTCACAGCCGCACCATTCCTCTTCGCCTTAGTCCCTTCCAACTTGGGCATAAAGTCTTGAATTCCCATCCAGTCCACCACGAACGCAGTGGTGATTCTTGCCCAGTCGCGGACTGTTGGTAGGTCGAGGTGCTCACCGTCATCCGTCATTTCATGCCAGACATCAGGGAATGGAGTTGGAATAAGATGCAAAATGTCGACACCGCGTTCCATAAAGGGTCGGTGGTCGTCGTCGATGAAGCTGCGTGTGAAACGGTTGGCAGACTTGTCGCCTTCTGGCATAAAAGGGACCTTGGGTTTGGTCTCGAGAACGCCAAGCTTTCGCATGCGCTCCTCCAGGCTAGCCATGGCACGGTATGCCCAATGTGTGGTGAGGAAGTAGGAAGGAATATGAGGGTCTGCAGAACCAAGAAGGTCAAGAAGAACAAATAGACTGATAGAGTCAAGAGGGGTTCTGTAAGTTGCTAGAGAGCCGTGGAACTGAGATTCCCAATCCGCAGCGAGTGATCTTGATATGCTGTTAGCCAATCCGCACACCCCCCCGGTAAATGAACACAATGTCTTACCTAGCTCCGTAAAGCGAGTCCTCTTCTGTCCAATGCTTGAAAGCCTCTTCGCCATCGAGAAAGAGGATCTGGAGCCCTTGTGTCTCTTCGAGCCCATCGTCCATGGCGCCGTCCTTTTGCATCTTGTTCCACTTCGCCTTGAGCGCATCTTCGACACTCCTCGCAACATGCATCAACATGGCACATGGTGCAGCGCTATCGATTGCGCCAATGAAGCCTTCTGGTTCATACTTGCTGTCGTAGTGTGCAACCAGCGTGAGTCGGCTGACATCCCCATTTTGCGCCCATGGGGGATCTCTTCGAAAAACGAGGTTGGAGAAGGGGACCTGTTTGTTTCCATGGACAGGAGTCTTTGAAGTGGAATTCTGCCACTCGAGGGTCCATTCAGGGAGGTTCTCCTTGAAAAAGTCGACAAAGTGTTTCTGGGTGCGCACTTGTCCCTCAGTGCCGGGGACACGTGGGATCAAAATAGGAGCGAGCAGCTTGCCATTCTTGATATCAAAGTCGTCGCCTGGCGAAGGAATATTCCGTAGGACATCGTCGGAAAGCGTCATGGACTCGGCAACGGTCGATGCGATGAGGCAAGCGAAAAGGAGTAGCTTTGCAAAGAATGGCAGCGAAGATTGCATTCGAGGCATGGTGGTCGAAGATGCAGCCATGGGGAAGGACGGACACCAATAAATACTACTTTAAACCAACAAGGAGCGGGTTTTGGGTCGGTTTGTCGTGGGGCGCGAAACTAGCTCATTCCGTCCGAAGGATTGTTGTATTCGACGCGGAACAGGGCTGATCAAGAAAGACAATGTAATGCAAGGCTAATCAGTGAATGTAGGTGTCGTGGACAAAGGAATTGGAGTAAATAAGTCGCTTCGTGTCAGGAGTTGAAGCTCTCCAATCTAGACCATGCAAGGGATGAGAGCCATAAGGACAGGTACGACAACCTAGGTCTGACTCCATGTCGTCTCCCCCACTTGACTGCTGTGTTGTGTTACTGAAACTAAACCTACTACAGCAGTCAGGAACTAACATGCCGCTGACCCCAATTCTAGATACAGCAGGTCAGAGCTTACTATTATTCTAGAACCCATTGTTTGTGATGTTGACCTGTTGGTAAGAACAATATATGATAAGGCACGTTAAGTCACTACAAGATAACCAAGTTTGATAGAAATCCAACAGTACCTAGTAGTAGAGACCGCCTCTTTCAAAATGAAATGGCGGGGACATGTGAGGCCCTTGAATGACCTGGAGAAACGTTCCGGTGGCTGAACACTAGTCTCATTGGACTGACCACGGTTAAATGCCGTCCAAGTGTCGACCTGTCTGTCAAATATCAGACACTCTATGGTTCACCAGAGGCTCCTTATCTTCTCTGGAATTCAACCTTGTTATCTTGCTGTCTTTATAAGCTCTACCAAATATGTGACCCACGGGCAGGAATAGACTATTTCATGTACCTCAAAGAGGTAGAGTACCAGATGGGACATTATCATGTTGCGCTTCTACATGCGTCAAGTTGAACATGTCGAGATTGAGCGGCAATATGCGGTTTTACTCTATGGTTACACTTTTACTGAATCAGCAACCTATATGATGGACATTCTTTGTTTCTCTCTCGACGGAGGACTCGTTGCGCCTAGATCAACTTCAGGTGATTGACCAGAGCTTTCAACCTGTACCCCCAAGGAGTTTCAAAGTAAACACCAATCAGACTCTCTACCATCTAACAAGATAGATCTCTATAAATAGTAGGGATTTCTAGCAACACCCTCATCTTTCGAAGCTAGTGCAGGCTACGTCATCCCGTTCACCCCACGCAGAGCTTCAGCGTAGTCTCAAACCACCAGTATCACGAGGTGACAGCGGTAAAGAACAGTGCTATAGCGTATTCACATGAAACAGGAGAAAAGTATGATTAATTAAGTTATTGTCATATTGATTTTCGACTCGCGTCCTATACGCTTAAGTCGGACCTTATCCAAAAGGCCATGATCCCCGTCATCTACACATACTCCTCATTCAGATCTATTAAAAAGTTGTACTCCAAGGGTTCTCAAAAGGATAACATATACAT